TATAGCTCTGCCTCTAGTGCAGCTCTGAAAAAAACACATCTCTTTAATAAATATTTCAAAGCAGAAACTCTTTCACACCTCCTCCAGTTCTGCAGAGGGCAGGGCTGCCCTCTCAATGTCGCTGAGCTTTTTGATGATGCGTTTGACCGAAGGGTCCTGGAAGTCCGTGGTGTCGTACTGACGGGCCTTCAGTCCATACTCCAGGGTGTGGGCTGACATCTCCAGGTTCTTGTCAAGCTACAGAGGAAAAATGAACACGCTTTAATTTGTACACTATGTGCCACTGAAAGCAAGATGGATGGAGGTTAAAAGACGGGTATACAGGTAATTAGGTAGACAGAAGCAAGCATGGTTTGGTTGATTAGCGACTCACTGATTCAATCATTTATTGATTCAATGACACAATTTTGATGACGCAAATGATTTTATCGATTCGCCCACGTGACACAATCAGCATGAGATGAAATAAGCCTTCACATGATGGCAGCTGCTGCTTGAACAACGTTAAGGTGATCTCCGTTGGGGCTTTCAGAGGGTCTCACCATGTCCTGCTTGTTGGTTTCGTTGATGTCAGTGTTGTACTTCCAGGAGGCCTCGGTGTAGGCGTTCCACACCCCCTCAGCGGTGCTGTTGTACTCATCCAGCAACGTCATTGCATCGATCTCGTCTGTATTCTTGTCTGGGTAAACAAGGAGAGAATTAAAGTGGGCTGAGATGCAGTTTGTGGGTCATAAGTAAAGCACCGTGGAATTAAGGTTGAAAAATAGCACCCTAGTTTAGCAAATTACAACGTGTGAATTATGGTTATCATGTGTAAACCACCACTATAGATTAGATTGTTTAGGCAATTTCTTCAAAAAAAAAAAGAAGCAAATGCCTTCTTCTTTATGTTCATACACTTTCTTGACTGCTGATTTATTAAAAATGCAACTATGCACTTTTCCCCTTTCCAACAGTGTCAACGTATTTTAGACTTGAAGTTCTGTTTACTGTTAATTCTCAGCTCCTGTCTTACCAATATCGTCAGGGTAGCCTTCAGGGATGGGTGGCACCCAGTTAAAGTCAGGCCATCCCAGGGTCTCGCCCTTATTTTGCGTTTCCAGCCACGTAATAATAGGTTTAAAGTATTCCATTAGTGAACTGGCATCTAGCTTATTGACGCCAATAGCCTCCTGGAGCACTTCGGGCCAAGGTTTGGAAGAGCCAGCCTGAAGGATCTTCCTGCAGGTGGAACAGGGAAATTGTATTACATCTTTACTTTTTATTTTTCCTCACCGGCCAATGTGCTCCATGCAATAAACAATAAAGGCCAAATCAGATCACTTACTTTAAAATGGCTCCCGCTTCTGCAGAGCGGTAAATGTCACACGTGTACAAGGGACCGGTGTGTTTGGCTGCCGCGCACAGTTTTTCATGAAGCTGGAACTGCAGGATGAAGCTGACAAAATACCTGCAGGGCACAACACATCCCATCTACCTTAAAAAGTCTTTGTAACATTAAATCAACATTTTAAAGAGAAACACAAATCATATGCACAAGCTAGACAAAAATGTCAAAAGCAGGGGGCACCATACAGTCAAGTCAAATGACATTAAATACATCTTATCCTCTGCTTTATGGTAAAAGCTATTAAAAATCACACTACAACACTGTGACTATAAATAACCCTTAAAATTTGATTGCAAAAATGATGTAAATGATGTAAGTAACTGCTGTACAGCCTGTTCGTCTGTTCAAGTAGCTGTGAGTTTGAATTTTGTTCCTGAAACAAACCAGCTGGACTACTTTCCCAAACAGCTCCGGCCTTTGCAACAAGCTTCCTGCGATTGGAAGGTTACTGTATTTCCTTTAAACTATAATACAATACAGCACTCAACGGTATCATTTCCAGCTCAACAGCCATTGTTGCGTATTCATTCTCTTTGTTTTCTTAAGCTCCATTGCACTTTGTCAGAGATGTGTATGAATACAGAATGAATCCAGCAGCTAAGGAAAACACTACACTGTCTTGAAAAACGTATACTGGTTGTTGGACGCTACCTGATGTACGGTGTGTTTCCTGGGATGTGGAATTTCGCACCAGCATCAAAGTGATCCTCCGTACGTCCGGTGGGTGGGCAGATGCCTTGATATTTTGTCCTGTAAAAATAAATAAGTAACAGATGAATTTAGAGTACGCTGGCATGGGATGTGTAGCTACGACATAAGCTCTGGAAAGTTTTTTTTTTAATCATTAAATTTTATTTATCCGTTAAGTGTCAGCTGGGCATGTGTGCTCATTTTCCAGCTACACTTCACTTCCCACAAAAACACTTAAGATTGAATGCCAGCCAGTACAGCCAAAGTTTTCTGCTGTTACTCAGCAGCCCCACTTAATGTGTGGGAGCTGGGATTTGCTCGGGCAAAAAAGTGATGGAATAACAATTACTGAACATATATTTAAATCATGTATAATTAATATTTTGATCATAACAGTGTATTTACTGATAATGTGATAACCCAGAAAGAATCTGCAGTTCCCCTTCGCTTTACAGAGGTTTATAGTGAGTTTTGAGTCATTGTTTAGCAACTTTACTGTTTAAGGTCACCCATACCACTTCCAGAGTCTTGTTTGTAAGTGCAGCAGGTTGAGGATTTTGGCAAATTAGCTAAAAACTACTACTACTACCTGCACAGTACCAAGCAGCAGACAGACACAGTGTGTGATGAGCCGGTGAACATCGTGGAGCATTTAGCTGCTAAAGAAATGGATATTTCCCTCATTTGCCCAACGCTGATTTTGCCGTAAATTTCCATTTTTATGTTTCTTCATTATGCATCAGGCATAAAAACAGGTTATTATTGATGTAGGATTCATGCAGGAGACTGATTCATAACGTGTTCACTTTAATAAAGATACCAGCATGTGTGCCCTTCCTGCCAACACCATCAAACTGTGGCGCCACAATATCACAAACACTTTCACTCAAAGAATAAGAAAGAAAAGCCAGATGTTCAAGATGCCAACAGCCGTAAAACAAAACAGAAGAAGAAGAATTAATGTGATCTTCTGTGTTGTGCAGAAACTTATGATCTTTGTTTTATTATTCATGTACTTATCATAAGGAATAATGGTAAATAAAAGCTCAGTCACGTGCTTTTTTGTTTCTGTTGTTTCTTACTACAGAAAATGGTGTCACTCACTGTTCACTTTTACTTTCAGACACTTTTTTTCCCCCAAGCCATTCTTGGTTAGGTTCAGTGAAACAGCACAGTTTTGGTTAAAATACACAGTTGCTGTTTTCAGTCACTGTTTTCTGTTGTTTTAAACTGATGCTTGGTTTTGTTTATGCAACAAAAATACTTGGTTAAGTTTAGGCACCAAACTGTATTTGTTTAGGTTTAGGAAAACATCATGGTTTAGGTTTAAATACAAATTCCAACTCATCCAACTAACACTTAAAAGGTTAAAGAAACAAGATATAAGATCATATTTACTGCACAGAAGTGACTGTGGCATTGGTCCCCCACTTATCTCCCAAATACTGCATTTCAAACTATTCTTTTTTTAAGTTTTTTTTTGCCTTTATTATATAGGACAGTCGAAAGAGAGACAGCAAAGTGGGGGAGGAGATTGGGGGAAGGGGTTGCAGCAAAAGGCCATGAGCGGGATTCGAACCCATGGCCGCTGCATCAGAGACTGTAGCCCCTGTATGTGGGTCGCCAGCTCAACCAGGTGAGCTAAAGCGCCAAACTATTCTTTTAACTTGAAGTCGCTTTGCATAACTTCCTACCTGAGGTACCACCAGTCAGAGTTGTACATCTCAGGAGGGGTGCGTCCGCTAAACACGCCCCATCTCCAGAGGTCGATGAGGTAGCCGAAGGGGAGGAAGGCTATCTTCTCCAGAGCCATCTTCAGCAGGTAGTTGGTATCAGTTTCTGGGGAAACACGTTTTAGCGTTTATTTTTTTGAAAACATTTATTTAGTGGGCAGGTTTAGTGTGGTTTAGATTGTTTTTATTTCTGTGTTGGCGTTATTACCAGGGTCAGAGGTTGCAGTTTCCAGCAGATTAATGGTTTTTAGATGCTTAGGTGTGGAAACAGAAAGAGACAGAACGTCGCCAATAGCCTCGTGAAACCCGGGGTTGGCTCCACGGCGGTAGCCCACAGGCTGGTCCTTGTACTGGAGGTAGTACTGGATGTGGCCCATCTCATGGTGCACCGTGAAGAGCTGCTCCATCGTCACCGTGGTACACTGCTTTATCCTGTATGAACAGAACTGCTTAATGATCTTGTAGCATCAAGTTTTAGCTCCTAGAATGTGAAGCAATAATTAATTAAATACTTGAAACTAAATTGATCTTTACCTGAAGTCTTTGCGGTTGTAAAAGTCCCAGGCGGATGCATGGCACACCACCTCTCGACCTTCAGGCTTAACCAGCATGGATTTGTCCCAGAACTCCTGAGGCATCTCCTCTAAACCCAGAGAGGTGAAGAACTCCTCAGCCACACGGAACATGTGTGTGGCGTTATATCCCTGTGAAGAGGAAACAATCCCACATGTCACAACTCAACCTATTGGACAGAATTACAGTCAGACTTCAAAGATTTGTGATGGCATCTTTCTGCAGAGGTTACTGTCAGCAATAACTAAAGAATACTTTCGCCCCTCCTTGCAATCCAATCAAGCTGCATAAAATCCTTCACTCTTACTTACTTGTCTGACCATTTCTTCGGTCACATCCATGTTGGGTTTGTCAGGAAATGGGATCATCATATCGTAAATGTTGTTCCAGGTCTGGGCCCACATATTTCCTGAGGGTGAGGAAGAAAACACACTTAAGCAGCAATTTCTGAGTCGTTATGCGATCCTCCACTCACAGGCCCCTTAGGAAATGCCTGCATGGAGCATGTTCAGCACTGCAACGAGATAAGAGCACAAAACCGCTGGCCATGGTGCGTCTGCATCTCAATACCCATGTGCTCGAATGTTGTCAGAGGCACGTGTGATGAAAAATGGTTTAAAATGTACAAAAGATATCGGAAGTTTTGACAAGGTTGTGAGAAAATGAGTCAAGGCAGAGTTCATAAAGCAGTAAGAAAACATCCTGTTAGCACAACATGGTTTAGGTATGATACAGAAACAAATAAAACAAAGGGACTACATAAAACGTTGTAATGAAGGATTCAAAAGAATTCAGATTTAGTTAGCGGATTCAGAACTGGATTCAGATTGTGTAAAACAAATTATATTATTCGCTTTGAACAATGAATTTAACTTATAATTCCATCAAAATGAGAAATATAGTGATTCAGCTAAGAAAAAATGTGACTCTGCAGAGAGATAAAGATAAATTCCTATTGCCTACAGTGTAATGGTTCATTTTAGAGCCACATTATTGTTACTAGAAAGTAAAATCCTAATAAAGTCACATGTTTGTTGTCCTCTTTGTACAGTAAAATCCATCCATGGTGCACATACAAGGAACTCTTTCATACATTTAAACATTTAAATATAGCTTTTCAATTTTCCAAATCTGAGGCATGCAAAATAAGGGAAACTCCCAAACACGCTTGTCACCTAATAATATGTGTATGTTACCTAGCAGATGGGCAGGGATTGGTCCTTTAAGGTTGATGTACTTGGGACCGTACTTCTTGTAAAGCTGGCGCCGCACAAAGGCGTGCAGGTTCAGGTAGAGCGGCTCGATGGTCCTGTACAGTTTGTCGATATCCTGCTCAAAGGTTGGCGACTCGTACCAAGAGCGCCACTCCTCTCCAGTGTCGGCAAATCCTACACAAAGCAAGAGTTTTAACCTTTCATTCTACCTCAGTTTCTACTCATTTAATCTTTTTTGTTCTCACCATGTATTTGTGAATATAATGCTGTTAGTGTCAAAGGTCAAGGGGAAGCACTTACCGTCAGCTTGAGAGGCTTTGTTGCTTAGCTGCACAAACTGGGGATAAAGCTCCTTGAGAGGCACACCTGATGCATTGTGCCAGCCCTCCCACGCGTACAGCAGCTTCTTGTAGCTCCTGGAGTTGGCCATGATGTTTGTGAGCTCTACAAACAACAAAAGTCACCCTCTCAGACATAGAGATGTGGAAATACACAAGGAGGCAGATCTAATCTGGGGTGCTTACAGAACTTTTCCTAAAGCAATCAAGATGTATTGAGATGACTTCATGCTCCTCGAGCTCTCTGAGCAGGAAAACAACAGACACATTATCCAGGAGATTAGCTTTGACTTATGACGACTCCATGATATTCTGAGAATCACTTAAAACAACGTTTATCTCAGGAATGCCAGAAATAGGAAGTGAAAGCGAGGAAAGGGTGAAAGTTGAAGACCACAGATGAAAGTTGAAGAGGTGGAAAAAGAGATTGCTGGAAGTCTTTTGTTGTTCTAATGACACCAATGTTTTTGTGCTGAAGGGATGTGCCACATATTTGGAGTAACCCTGGCTCCCATCATGGATTTCTTCAACCAAGAAGCCAATAATCATTACAGAGACTGCACCTTAACAACAGTAATGTGCTTATCTATTTTTATGGGCAACCATTTCTAGCAGAAGTGATTGTTTTTGCTCTCTTGTCGTACTGTATGTGCTGGCAGGCGTTTCTCACTATTACTTTCAGCAGTTGTGGCTGACAAAGCACAAAGGACCATTGTTCACAAGAAATGGGTTGCAGTGTTAAAAGCTACTAATGTGCTGTTTCTCCAGCTCTTTACTTAACACTCATGAACACATCCACGACGCTTCCTGTGGAGACCTCTCTCAAGTAATTTTGCGCATCCTGATACCCCCAAGAGCCGATAAGCTCCTGACCACTTCCAAGTGTTTTTCTTCCCAGACTTCCCCTCCACATTTTTGTTTATTCGATATTCTTCAACACTGCTTTGTTCCTGTTTCTTTCAGGAAAAACAAAAAAACACCTCTAATTTATGCATCTTGACCCCTCGGTGTGTTAACTCACCAGGTTCGAGGCTCCAGCTCACGTTTGGCTGTGGGTGCACCTTAGCTGTTGAATAAATATTGTCCATGGTGCTGAGAATGGTGTTATACTGTAGAAAAAAAGAAACACGGATCATGTTCCAAACAGTTCAATGGTGACAAAAACACGGTTACTGACTCACAAAAGGTTTGCGATGAACAATATGAAACAGAAACAAACCTCCTCTCTCTCTTGCTGGGGGAGGTTGGCAGCGCCCAGAATCATAATCTTTTCCATCAGTTTCTTGTCGCTCGGGTCGAGAGAGTTGAGAACCTCCTGAGAGAAGACCTCCTTGGCCGTCGTCCCCCAGGCTTCAGCAAAGGCCTGTTCTTCAAGGGATGCATTTACCTAAAGACAGGAGTAGGTAGAAATAAATCAGAATGACAAGCTGGATTACTTCAGTTCTGTAACTGCAATACTAAGCAAACAACATCTAAACATTTAATGAATATTTAGTCATTTTGCTTCCTTCATGCAAGGTTTTGGGACCATGCAAGGTCCACAGTGACAAGAGCATGTTATATTCCTTCAGAGAATGGGCTACTTTGGAAATATTAATGTGTGTCAAGAGTAGAATGTGGGCAGCAACTAGAGAATGGAGACATGGTGGGTACCTTTGGTGAGTAGGAGAAACTAAAAGAAGAAATGATGGTGGACATGAAGTGAACTGAGGAGCCCTGTCTGCAAAAACCACATTTTTATACACCTGAACTGCATTCCCAGTTACTTTTTGCAGGTTGCATGTTTTCTCCAGGGTTAGATTTGTGGTGTATCAGAAATATGTTTCTAATCACATATTGTGGTCTTTTACTGGCGCTCCTTTTCAGTCAGCCGACAACATATGATATGGGACTCATCACAACCTAGAAAATGGAGGAGAAGCTTCAAACCATGTTGTGAAAAGGTTGTTTTTTGGGGTTTTTTTAGCCCAAACCATGATCATTTCCATCCATCCATCAATTTTCTTCTACTTATCTGGAGCCAGACCGTAGCCTGGGGGATCCCAAGGCCTTCACAGGCCAGATAAGATATATAATCCCTCCAGTGAGTTCTAGGTCTACTCTGAGTTCTCCTCCCATCTAGACTTGCCTGGAAACCCTTCAAAGGACGGTGCCCAGGAGGCATCCTAATCAGATGCCCAGACCAACTTAGCTGGCTTCTTTCAACGTGAAGTAGCAAGGAGTCTACTCTACTGATATATGATGTTATCCTGAAACACCATGGTGCTTCCTAAACCTAACCAAGTTGTTTTAGGGCCAAAACTTGACATTTTCACAACAAGTGGAAAAAATCTAAAACTAATGATTCCACATGGGACACGAGCACAAGTCTCCTGAGTGAAAGTCCTGAGCTTGTGCCACCACTTTCCCTCCAACCTCCTGATGTCAATTTTGTGGCTTTTTGAAAAGTAGAAATGTTTCCTACCAAATCATACTGTTACCTTACCAGAAGAAAATATGTTTCTTGCCAATGGAGAATGCAGTGTGGTTGTATAAGAATGCAATTTCGTGGAGACGGGGATGAGCTAAGACAGTGAGACATGGGAGACTCTTTATTATCAGGCTGTTGTTACACATGCTATATTTTCTGTGTGTTTTAGCACAGTTACTCAAGCTCAGACTTTCATTGGGTGAACTCTCTTTAAATTTTGTCCAGACATTTATGATCCCCAGAGGATGAATCAAACTGTCTTTAGGGACTCTTTAGCATTTGCTTCCTGTGGAGGTTGGATTTTATTTCTACAACTGCTGGATGGATTAACAGGCTCCCCTACTTTTTATGTAATTCATGAAATCATCGGATCGGTTTTTGCAATACGTTTGCATTTCCATACAACAGTTCTGGATGTTCCTTGACAGTTGTATCAACATATCTTCCCTCTGGGATCAATAAAATATTCTGTGTGTCTATTGAGCGAGGACAGAACAGCAAAATAACTCTCACTCAAGGATAATATTTGCAAAAATGCCTTTGTCACTCTATATTTGCCCATCTATGGCCCCACCAGCTCTCAAGAGCTTTTCTTTATGGCACTCTGGAAGGTCACGGACATCAGTATTCTCAGTATATCACGACCTTGCAGGAAGACTGCATGGAGTCAAGGCTGCTGTGGAACACTGGACGGATAGTGCACATTGCTGAAAGTACGCGTCACGTGCTGAAATGCAAATCACACTTTAACATAAGCTAGCTTCGTCAGTCTTCCAAAATTATCTGCACACTCGCACTGACCACAGAGCAGTGAGTTAATGCTCACAGGTCACTATCTGCTCCACTCCCATCCTGATAAAACTGACACAACAGGAGCTTCTTTCCAGTAATGTTTTCATTCAAATCTTTCTTATCTGTCTTTCTCCCAGCCTTTGCTAAAATAACAGGCTGCAGGAGGGGAGAGAAAAAAAAAAAAACTGGTGACAGTGAGTTGAAGTATTAACTCTGACCTTTGTGCTCTTCCTCTCAATCTCTGTCTTTTTCTCGATAGTTTTTTTTCCAGGCTGCCTGCACTCATCCATCCACAGGGATAATCACATTCTCAGCCAAAGGACCACAGTAAAGATAAGGGCAAAAGGCTTTTTTTTGCTGATTTAGTTTCTGTCAATGTCTATCTGCGACACATTTACAGTGATGTCTCCATTTACAAATCATTTACTCTTTAAATAATCAACCTCTGTGAGTACAAAGTCGAGCTGGACTAAAATTCAGTTCTGTCAAGTGCCCTGAGATGACTTTTGTAATGATTTGGCTCTGCATAAATAAAACTAAATTCAAGTGAAAAATTCTTCAAATCATAACAAGCCAACTCTATTATGCTCGCTGATTGTTAGCTTTCAATTTGATCATATTAAAGTTAGCTTTTACCCATAATTCTTAAATATTTTTGCATCTGAAACAGTTGACATTTTAGATATATATTGAAATTAGTGAATAAAATGGATTTAGATAATTAAAAATAAAGCCCATTGCTTGACCTCATGACATTGCATGCAGTTCTCAAACTCAAACACTTTCAAGTTGCGTAAAAAGGCCGGCAACGTGCAATAAAATTAATGACTAAGCCTCAGGTCTGATTCTGGCGGTTGGTATTCCATCTTGGGTTTTAAAGGACTTCAGCTGCTGATATCTACCATCATCAGTTTTTATTCAGCATGATTTAAAGCCTGTGAGCTGATCCTCATTCTGTTTGATCCTTTGCATGTCGAACACGAGTCTCATTTGCGCTGAGACCGAATCACTCTCACCTCCGAGGCTGCATGAATTGAGAAGAAAGTCAGCTTATGTGCACATTTGCATGGTTGCTTTGTGTGCGTACATGCTCTAATTTAATCGGCTGCGCTACTGATAATGTATATTTCAAATCATATCAGTGTACTGGACGTACAGTGCAGCACCAGCAGAATGCCAACATCAGAAAATGCCACTCTCAAGCTGAATTTCCATTCTCCCCCCTCCCCTCCCCAGCTGCCAAATCAGATGGAGCTCAGTGCTCTGATTCACTTTGATCCTATCTTTGAACCTTTCTGGGTGGGAAAAAAAAAGCGCGTACATGGCAACTACAAGCCCTGCTCATCTTTCACCTTGCATGGCAGAAACATTCTGTGGAGCACAACACATTCTGCAGCCTGACCCTGTTGAGTGCGGGCCACATCTACACCTGTTCAGAGCGCAGGCAGACCAGTGCTCAAAGCCTGGATAGTGTGCTGAAATCCTGTTGTGACAGCTGTTCAAGCACACAGAGAGAAAAATCTGGAGGTTTTCTCTTAAGTGTGTCAGATGGACTATTAGCTCTCATGAGTTTGTATAATGAGCGGGTAAACTTATATTGCTTACACACGTCCATAAATATGTGTGTGTGTGACTCCTGTGCCCAATAGCAAGTAAACTTTGTTCACACCTCTACAGTTTCATTGGTTCTTGCAATCTCCTGTCAGGCTGCACTTTCCTCCTCTCCCTTGTCTTCATGGTTGATGCAAATGTCTCTCAGGCATGTGGTGAAATGCAACTGTTAAACCGCTGCAGTCTGGTATTAATGTAACGTCTCACAGCTGGCCTCTAAGCAAAGCCATTTAAAAATTATTGCAATGATGCATTTCATTGACTGTAAATATTGTCGCAGTGGACCATAAAAAATACTACTGTGTGTAAAACTGCCTTTTGAAGCAGGTTTTTCCACCAGAAGAAATAGTCTTAGGCAGCAAATGTCATAAAACACACAGTTGAAAAAATTAAACCAGCACAAGAGCATGCAAGACCCCCTAGAAATGCATTCAGAAATTAAAGACGCTCACACCGCAGGCATTCAGATCTGATTTATACATCCAGCAACACACAGAGTTGGCTGCCTCGTGAGGAAACTGAGCATGTAATTCTGGAGAGAGATGAATAGTGGTAATCTCCAAGTCAAGCAGAGCTAAGCTCCACAGAAACCTTTGACCATGCATGCATTTGTGGTGATGAGATGCCAGCACTGGCAAGAACTGATCTAAGCAGGACAATTTAATACCAGCATGAGAGAAAGCACGGGGCTCTAGGAGTCGTCCTACCTGAAGCTTGGAGTTGTGATCCGTGATGTTGGTGTTGTAAGTCCAGCTGGCAGAAACACTTTTGAAGAGCACTTCCTCAGCAGTGCTGTTGTACGCAGTGAGAAACATTAAAGCACCACTGGTGTTGTTTTCATATGGCCCTGGGAGCCACTCATTTGGCAGAGCCTCGGAGAACCCTACGATTGGCAGCAGCAGCAGCACTGACCACAGAAACCTGTCCACACCAGTGCCCATGGCTAGCTTCCACCAAAGACAGAGTGGAAGAAAAAGCTGTAAAGTGGGATAGTTTGGAGGACGGGCTAAAAATACGCTTGCTCCAATGAAGTGAGAGGACACCTTCCCCCTGAAGCTGTTGTCTCATCCACTCCCTCACTGTTCCTTCCTTAGCCTCCCAGCCCGGCTGCGGGTGAAATGCACTGGAGACCAAAGCGAGCTTCTTTTTAAGTGCCAGTGTAACCCAGCCCACACTTGTCTGCAGCCTTCCCTCTTAGCACTTTACAGCGTTGGACAAAGTCCCCCACCAATTCCCCCCTTCCTCACTCCTATCTTCTTTCCCTCCCTTCTTTCTCTGTTTCACCAGCCTGCCAGCATTCGGATGGCTGGCATTATCTTTGATCAGAGCCAAGTTTCTGGAAGATGGGAGATAAAATATGACACACAGCAGTGCGTTTGCCTGATCTGCCTGCTTGCCTGCCTGGAGAGCGGTGGCTCCTCAGTAACCAGCAGTGGAGAGTCTGGGAGGGACTCCACATACTTTACTCTCAGTTCCCTCCTTCAGCTTAGTGACAGCAAAGGGAGGGGGGGAGTTATAAAGACAGGGGGAATGAAAGAGAGAGGGGAGAAGGGAATGGAACTGGAGGGGGTGACAGGATTCATGGCAGAGGGTTGAAAGATTAGCAGGGAAAAAAAGTCAGACAGAGGCACTAAATGTTGACGGGGGCTCACCTTGAATCGTGTCTTTTGTACATAATCGGATCTTTCTACAGCACAGCTTTCTCATGCTAATCACTCTAAATTTACAAGGTTTGCCATTTGCGATCAAAGGATATAGTGACTTATTGCAAGACAGTTGACAGGTCTAAGAATGAGAAGCTTCCCAGCTGTCAGGATGCAGTCGGATTGGAACTGCCTTTGTTTTTTAGCATCTTAACAGTAAAAGTGTGTAGTTGAGCTGTGCTATTACATACACAGCAGAAAACGGTATTTCAGTAGTTTATTGGAAGATTATTCATCAAATTAAGGAGAAGTTCTACTGACTTATAACTTTATTTTTTCCCTAGAATAAGGAACTTGTCTAGACGTGCAAGTTGCCATAATTGCTGAGCAAACAAACCCAAACTCACTGAGTTGCTCTTAATTCCAAATTGAGTTGTTACACTATTTCATTGCCCTGGAATCCTCTTAGAAAGCCATTTGAATGAGCTGATAGTACTCACTGCATTCAGCGAATATTTAACAGAGGAAATGGATTGTGTACATAGCACATCACGATGCACAGCGACACAATCTGCAGTCTTAAACCTGCCTCACCCGGTTTGGTGATCACTTGAGGGCAGCAGAAACAAGGTGTAAAGGTGTTTGACCATCATATTGAAAGATATAAAAAAGACTGGAACATTTTTTGGGGGGCATTTTGGGCTTACACAGTCAGCAGTAAAGAGGCTTGAAGGCAACATGAGATAAGAGAGAGTGGCATAACATGCATCATAGGTCCTTCAACCAGTCCAACCAACCGTGGACACTGCACTAACAACTGGGTGGCAGATTGAAACTGAAAATTAATTAAAGGAAAAATAGAGTCATAGTACGGTGTTGGGTCGCCACATGCTGCCAGAACAGAAGCTTGTCATTGATTCTCCAAGTCTCCGGGACTCTACTGGGGGGTATAAACATAATTCTTCCAAAAGATATTCCCTCATTTCATGGTGCTGGAGCGTGCTGTCTAACATGTCAGTCAAAAAATCTCCCACAGGTGTTAAGTCAGGTTGAGATCTAGTGACTGCAAAAGCCATGTTTCAGTTGTTTTTTTTGCACTCTATGGATGGGGGGGCATCCTGCACTCATGTCAGAACAGAAATGTTTCACCACAGGATAGATCGGGTTCACTCAGGACTACTTTGTGTTGATTTGCAGTGAACCTTCCCTTTAAATGGACAGATGGGGACCCAAACCATGCAAGCAAAAACAGCATAAAAGAACCGCTCGGGGTCAAGGTTCAGGTTCCTTTTATTTGTCACCAGTCTGTATGCAGGAGACACACATCAGCAATCTTTTGAAATCATGTTTGTATCCATCGGATGAGTGTAAATCCAGGATTCATTCTCATATAACCCTATTTAACTCTTCACCGATCACTGAGGGCAACAACTGCCTCTTTAGATTTTCTACTTTGTTTAGCAGCTACACAAAAACTTCCTCTGCTGTTTTAAGCCAAAAGGTAATGGGATTTTTTTGTGAAAATCGCTGCCTATTGCAACCTTAAATGAGGACATTCATTCTCAACTTAAACAAAAACACTAAAATTAGTAATAATAACTTATTTATGTAGCACACTTTAAAAACAGAGTTTAGAAAAGGCTTCACTGACATCCCAATTACAAAAGAATGGAAAAAGAAAAGGCAGAATGAAACAAAATAGAGAGTTAAACCACAAGGACAAGGCTGAAAGTAATAACAATAATGGTAAATATGTTTTAAGAAAATGTAAATAAAGTTAAACTGAAAAAATAAAATTGACATTGCAGATTATGAAGCCAAATCACAAAGTTGAAATACGTTAAAACAGCAAACTGCTCATTTGGATGATAAGCCCCTTTAGTCATCACTATAAGCAACACCTTTTACATCAAATATGTTACTTTGACGCATATATAAACTTATATTTGTCTCTCTTCAGTTAGTTTCAAGCAGATGTCTCTCACTTTGCTCCATTTATCCTCCTCAACTCAACTCGAACACACAGCTGCGGAGCCGTGTGACCTAGTTTACTGCACCAGCAGGTGTATTCACAACAACAGAAAACAAAATGCTGCTCTTGAAAGCTTACTGTCACATTTAATCCGTAATCGCTTTTATGTTTTATGATGCCCCGTTCATACAATTTTGGAATCCATCAGCTTTCATTGCTACCAAATGGCTGATCATTCACCAGACTGGGACCTTTACACTTTAAGGAAGAATCCAAAACATGTGCCTGGTTCCTTTTTTTCTGCTGGGAGCATTTTCTAGATGTTGTAGCATTATGTTTGAAGACTTTGCTGCAGCCAGAAACAGCTCATTCAAATCCCAGATTGTCTCTCCAGCTCACTGTTAATATTGTAATAGTCGGTGTGAATGCATTGGAAACCATGACAGTTAGCTAAAAATATAATATTAAAAAATCAGGATTTTTGAGTGCTGTAACAAAACCAGAGAACGTGTCTTTAAGCTGCTCAAGGTGACAGTTCAAAGTGATGCGAAGACTGAATGAGGCCATAAAAGATGTTCGAGTTAAGTGATTTTATAGTGCGCATGGAGGGGATCATAAATCACAATGACATATCGAAATATGAAAACAGTATTCTATTACACCTTCAGCAGGTAGGTAAGCAAGAATATGGTATGAATTAGAACGATCAAAAATGTCATCTGACATGTCATCGTGTTGCTTGTTTGGGAGTTAATCCATAATTGCAGCTCATATTTTCCATGTTAATGTCAGTCTACAGGGATTTATAACTGTTGTTCATAGCCATGGGTCAATCAAAGTCTCTATTAACCTTGATAGTCAGATAAATTAATAGATTAGGCTTTTTATGATGTCCAATAGTTTCTAGCTGGGTTTTAAATAGATATATTGCTAGATATAATGTCTCTGATGAAGAAATTGCTGATCAAGTCATCCCTGTGGAGCAGATAAAGATGTAATTTATTGATGCTGACATTTTATTTTTGAGTTGAATGAACTCAAGTAGTGTATCTGTCTCAATGTAAAGTATTGTGGAAGTTAACTGTAGCAGGTGAAATAACTGAAGCAATGCCTTATATTGAGACAGATATTGCAGTTGTAGTTTAGGGTCATTCTGATTTCAGTTCTCAATGAGCAGATTAACCCTATTCAGGACTTCTGGGGTCATTTGGATCCCAGGCCATTTGGTTTAGGTGACAGGTATTGTTTCTTTATTTTTGAAGATTTTTTTTTTATATATATAAAAAGAGGGACACTTGTCATGCATTTGGAACCACAAATACATCAACTATGATCAGAAAATGTATTTAACATAGTATCAAAGTCTATAACGAATACCAACAAATATTTTGCACATGTTCTTTCTTGGGGTCCAATGGATGGAATGGCAACATGAAAGTCCTGACAAGGGTTAAGGTTGCACTCATTGTCCTGGAGACGATCCCCTGTGCTGAGATCTGCCTCAATCGGGCCGCCATTAGACAACTATTGCTCCATGTGAGATAAGAGATATCTCAAAACTATCTCCAAGGTTCTTCTGCTCACATTTGCTGATGTCTTTGGAAACATGCAGCACATGTCCAACATGTGAACAATCTGAATGGGGTTGGCTACTTATTGACAGCGTGAACTCGAGCTGAGATGATAAAAAAAAAAAAAAAAGACGGTGTGCTCTGATGAATTTATCATGCAGTGGTGAATGTAAAATTTCTGAGGTGAAAGACTTCACACACCCTTACACTCGTGGCTGATGATGTGCAGTCATGACAGAGTGAGTAAATAAAGTCAGGAAAAACAAAATCTATTTAAAGTGTGTTATGTCAGAATCATTTTATACCTCTGATAAGAAAAAAAATAATAATTCAGTTTTCAGAAGCCAGTGGCTCATAGACTCAGGAAAGTTTGAGTAAAAGGGCAGCAGGTGCCTGAAGAATAATTGGAATTGAGGTCACAGTTGTGTTTACCAAGAGACAATAAAACTGTCCACAAAGAGTGTTAACTGCTGCCTCATGCTGTGCGTGTGTGAGTGTGTGTGCACGCATGTGTCCAGTCAATGTAGTTTTCCCGCAGTCTCCGGGACCATAATTGAGTTTGGCTTTTCCTTTGATGGAAGTCTGTGAAGTGTGGTGAGGCTGTGATGGCCCAGAACATCCAATTTTCACAAACAGGTATATGCTGCACACCATTTGACATCATGGATGCTGCGGGGCTGTATGTGTGTGTGTCTCAGTACTGTGAGGTATGCGATGACATGTGAAGTTTATTGAGCAGAACGAAGATGCAGGTTCCCTACCTACAGTCTGTATAAACTCCATTCACACACCTACTATTATTCCACTTGAACATACATGTACATATACATTGATGCATAATTGACTCCAAAACAGTCAACAGTTATGTTCTGTAAGTAGTGAAAAGTGAGTGCAATACTTAGGGTATCAACCAGCATTTGTTCATGTGGCTTCTCGCATTAAAAATAATCCTAAAATTCTGCAAATGTTAATGTAAGATATGCAGTCATGAACAAAAGTTTACATACACTTGTAAC